CAGCATCTGTGAAGAAAAAATCAGAATTATCGTTTCAGGTCCGGTGACCCTTCCTCAGAACTGGGGGAACCCGAAACGTTAACTCTGATTTTTTTCTTCACAGATGCTGCCAGACCTGCTGAGCTTTTCCAGCAACTTTGTTTTTGTTCCTGATTTACAGCATCCACAGTTCTTTCGGTTTTTAAATGAAATATTGTGTTGAGGGAAATGGATTGTAAAAGTAGGGGAAACTTGCTACTGTGTACAGGTCGTTGGTGAGAGCATATTTGGAGTACTACAACAGGTGTGACCCCCTTAATTATAATGGGAGTACTTCAGAGAAGATTCACTAGGTTCAGTTGAAGGATGAAGTGATTGTTTTATATCGATAAGTTGAGCAGGTTGGACCTATATTCATTGAAGTTAGGAGGATGAGAGATGAGGTTTTGGGAAGTTATAAGATTCTGAGAAAGAAGATGTTCCCCTCATTGTGAAATGTGGAATAAGGTGTCACAGTTTCCAAATGGGTTTTCTCCCAATTATGGAAGAAATGAGCAGGCAGTTCTCGGGTGGGCGGGAATGTGGATTTAAGTTTACAAGCAACTTAACTGTGATCTTATTAAATAGGAGAGCTGGCTTGAGGGGTTAAATGGCCTACTCCCTGGAATTCTCCCCACCCCCCAGAGAGCAGTGGAGGATGGCTCATTGACTATTCTTAACACCAAATTTCATAAGGCTAATTTTTGATTCACAGGGATTATGAGAGGTAGGTGGGATGATGGAACTGAATTTAAAATCAGATCAGTGTGATCTTATCAAAGGCTGTCAGATTTGAGGGGCCAAATGGCCTATCCCAGTTCCTATTTCTTACAATTCCATGTTCTGAGCCTTCTTGATGCTGTACTCAGTAGTGTACTACCTTGATGTCAAGGCCAGCTCCTTGTTTGTTATCTGATGGCAGTATTCATAACTCCACTTGTTATTCGTAATGTTGCATGAACAGAACTAACTTGACTGGACTCTAGCACATAACATGGTGGTACCCCAGACAAGGCTGAAGGCAAACTATTCACTTGGCTTTTGCATTAAGACAGTTGCAAATACATCAGCTTTGTCTCTTGCACTTGCCCTAGACCCTGGTATGATGAAAAGTGGGACTGTCAATGGACATTCTTCGCATGAGTAAGCCAATTGTCCATCACCATTCTTTACTGGATGTAATAGGCTATAGAATTTCTGTCATATCTGTGGTTGTGGAATCACTTAATTCTGTAACTTGTCTCTTGTGGAACTTTTTTAGGTCAGTTTCTCTTTCCAAATTAAGCCAGGTTAAGTCTTCAATTAAAATATGTGACTAGTGTTTTTTCTGTCTTTCAGCTGTCACAACTTGGATCTCAGAGCTAAGGCACACAGTTATTACTCTGAATAATTTTTGAGATGGGAAGAATACAGACAACATGTTTTGCTACTCCAATGTCACAATTTATTTACTTATTTCTTTCTTGAAATATTATAATACTTATAATTCCATTTTTTGCTAATTCTTTGATGCAATTGGATGTAATTTCTGACATTTTTAACATCAACCTCTACATCATGTAACTGTACAAATAGTTGAAATAAATATAAAGATAAATAATTGTAGTTTTAAATTATTCTAAGTGTCAGTTTGTATAAACATTTCTTGTTGTGTATTATATTTTATTCAGGATTTTTTTCTTACAAAAAGCATTCAAATCATTTGACAGCAATCGGGACCGGAAACGCTGCTGATCATTTTTCAACTCCCCCCGCCCCCAGCTGCCAACTAAACATTGTTGCATTCCTATTGTCCACCCTCAGCTAATCGTCAGGGATCAGCAATTGAATTTTCAACTGTCTTGTATGTGAATCTGGACCATACCATGAGATGTTTTCAGCCACTGGATAGTGCAAGAATATGTAACACACGTCGAACAAAATATTTAAGAAAGAGCTGTATATATTGCCTTTAGTATTTAGCTTTGAAATTGTCCATCAGATATTTTATCAGAATCCATTTAACATCGAGCACAGTGGTGTGTATTTGTGGTTTTTAAAGTTCTCTGTGCTGTGTATTTAGCTCTTCCTAGTGGAAGTATCCAGTACTGCTTCAACTTACCTCAAGTCATAGAATCCCTACAGTGTGGAAGAAGACCATTCAACCCATCAAGACCACTCCAATCCTCCAAAGAACATCCCACTTAGACCCACTCCCACTCCCCCACCCCCATCCTGCTCCTACTATTGAGGAATAACTCTATGTTAAGGTCATAACAAAATCTAAATATCATTTATGATACCTAGACTAGGTTTGAAAAATTAACTTTGCAGAAAGTCTGTGAAAATTGTATTCACCTCTTCTCTGATTTACAAAAGAGCAGAAGCTTCGCAAAACAAAAATAATCATTAAAAACTAAAGCCACTTCAATGCTGACATTTTTGAACCACCTAAGAGCACAAAGGACAAAGTAATAGTTCTCTAACAAATTATATTAAGGATGTATTTGTAAATGTACAATAGATATGGACTCGTGTCACAATCGTTGCCACAAATAGGTCCCAATAAGCATTCAAGCAATGTTGCTCTTGAGTTTAAGCTGAGTTCATGACATTAAGAAAAAAAGTACATGGCCTTAAATAAGTATGATCTAGTGGTCATTACTGAGATTTGCCTGCAGAATGACCTAGATTGGGACCTGAAACTTGGATATGTGGCATTTAGGAAGATCAAGAAGCTAGGAAAGGATGGATGAGTGACTCTTAATTAAATATGATATTAGCACAATAGAGAGGGATGACCTAAATTAAGTAAACCAGGGATATAGAAGCAATCTGGGTAGTGATAAAGAATGATAATGTCAACAGGTCAGGTGAGGGATTTGTGTTCGGGCCCCCAAAGAGTAACCATATAGTAGGATAGGCTATCAAAGAAGAAATAATAGGAGCTCATCAAAAGGGTACAGTAATGACAGGGTACAGCAGTTCAATAGGTTGATGGAATGAGTGTAGTAGTAGTTCCACAAATCCAATGGGAGGTGATAGATTAAAAGGAGGGTGGAGGTCCCTACAGTGTTTAAATTGCTGTTGTATAAGGAAATGATTCTGAAGGAGTTAATTTTGGTGTTGCATTAAGCTCTGCCCAATCGAATAATGTTTCTCATTTTTTGATGGAGTTTGTTGAGTTCTGCAGGAGGACCTTAATGGAGCAGATAGACTCTGTACAGCTCCTGATTTTGCCTGTCTACTAATATAAACTATACCTATTGTTATCATTTAATAAATTAACTTATTATGTAAGGTAAATACCACTTCTGTTTAGACTTATCAGTGTACATCCTTTATGACTGGTAATTAAACATGCCCCAGACTCAGCTTGGAGAAAGGGTCAGAACACCAACACTGATTCTGACGGGTGGGCAGGGAGTGAATGCCAGTCCGAATGCTAATTAAGTATGGTGCCTATGAACTAAGGGCAATAGTGGCGACTTCCTGCTTTTCCCTACTGCATCATTTGCCATGCACTTCCAAACCCACTATCAGGAGTCACATTGCTGGAAGATTCTATATTACTATTGGATAGTTCTGTCTGACTCCACAGAAAATGTGGGAGATATGTTCCTGTCAATCTAACTACTCGTAATGCATGAGAATTGAATGAATATGAATCTTAATCTATCTGAACAATATACAGCAGTAATTTTGATATTCTGTAAGTTGCCACACCAGTTCTAGTCACTTTCTCTTTAGGGTTTTTAAGATGAGAATGAACTCTTACATTAGAAATTCTGCAATATGTGTTTGGTGGCATCCTTTTTAAAAGTCAAAATGATATTTGACATGTTATTAAGAGTTATTTACTGCTGAATAAATGCCTTTGCATCAACTTTAGGAAAATCTTTTATTTAATACTATAAACCAGAATAGCAAATGCGTATTTGGCACCAAGAAGTATTTCCTGTCTGCAATGGAAGAAAATTCAGTGGCTTGTTGTATAATATCAAGGCTAATGAAAGGTTTGCTCTATTTGAATTTTCTATAAGATCTATGGCTTCTCCATGGGAACCTGAATTTAGTATTAAACAAACCACTGTTACATCTGGGCACATGGCCACATTGTACTGATATATATTTATTCTGGAAAACAGCCTTTTTAGTGGCAATCCTAATTGAAAGACAGTGAAGTGAACTAAAAATATTTAACATTAATTCTCCTTTCAAACTGTTTTAAGGAGGTTGGAATTAATGTATATTTAATGGATCACTGATTAATTAAATTCCTTATCATAATACACTCCACCCTGTAACCTTTCCAACTTCTTAATAACAGTCCATGAGACCCATCATTGTTATCATGACAATCTTTATTTTTTGGAGGCTGCATCCCAGTAACACAAGAACAAGACACTAGACGATTACAAACTTGTATTTTGTCAAACAAAATTAGTATGGTTTCAGTTGGAAGCTGCCTTTCAAATGCCCACATTTGACAATTTCTTGGGTTTTTTTCTAAAGTTGGAACAGTAGAAGCAGCCTGACTGGATGTTGTCGAGCTCCCACCCATAGAACGAGGAGTTTTAGGTTTAGCTTTCAGCAGTTGCTTTTGGGGTCTTGAAGAAGTGGAAGCTATTCTTCCCTCTTTTGATCAAAACTGGGGGTTCTCTTCCGGGGCTGCTGGATTGCATGTGCGACAAATCTGTTTTCTGAATTTGCCTTCTGCCAAGTGTATGTTTAAGAGATGTGAATATATTGGAACAGTTAATTAGCAATAGTAATAACAGTATCTATTATTCTGTTAAGTTTTCCAACAGAGTTGTTATTCCAAGTTCTTCTTTCTTTTGTTGCATTTTGGTGTTTGAATTAATTGTGTGTTTAACGTTAAGTAGTTTCACCAATCAAATTGCATCAAACACATCATCCTACATTTACCTTTAAAATAAGAAAACATTGGTCTAGGCTACCTTCTTAATATAGTTTGAGGGCGTCTGGTCTAGTTCATAACACCAAAAATACAAAAACTAACTTGCAAGTATTAACACTCTTACTATTGCTTCTATCACACAATAACTGGCAATGGTATAGCTTGATATTTCATTTTTCAGAAAAGTTCATCTGGAGTCCCAATAAATCTGTGCTTCATTAATGTAATTGGAAACTATTCTGTTTTAGCTGAATCATATCAAATATGTGATTTTGATTGAATTGAATTGTAGTTGGAAAGGATTTAGGCTGAACTTTGAATATATATTCTGTAATTATTAATTGATTGTAATCTCCACATCATGTTTTAATTTTAAAGCTTTCCCTGCTTTAATTTTCACTCTTGCTGAGATTTGAGACTGCCTAAAGTATCCATCCCAGGAGCTTCCCAAAGACTTAACCACAGTGACAGGTCTGAACACCACTGCAGTTCTCAAGCCTAATGCTGTTAGAAATTGGGATTGCTTTAAAACTGATTTTTTCTTGTATTCCTTGTGTGGCAGGGGATCTCTCAAAACTGCTACTACAGTGCTGCATTCTTAACCCAAACATGAACCATCCATAACAATTAAGGATAACAGGAAAGTACAGTAAAGTCACAAGGATTACTGAGGCCCCTACTTTCCACTGAACTGACATCAAAGAACTATTGCATATCATATGTATTCTATTATCAATGCATTGTTTAGGAAAATATTAAAAAAAAATCTTTCCCCGTTTTAAAAAAAAACTCTAAGCAGAAAGTGGGACAATGTTTGTTCTGATATCATGAGAATTCATACCATGTTCATTGGCTAAAAGGATTCAGACAAGAGTTTGGCCCAATATAGATTGTAGCTCCAGAATAGAGTATCAAAAGTATTCAGAGTCAGAGGGTAGTCCTTGTCAGAGGGCAGTCTTTGTCAGGAAGCTGTCTTCCTCAGATGGAAGATGAGCCAGAAGAGATTGTGGTAAGATCCAGGTCAGAGTTCCCTAACATTTTGTGGAGAGAGCAGGATGCTGTCTCCACAGGTTTAATGAGATCACCAACCTCTGCCATCATCTGATAACAGTGAACAATCCTCATTGTCTAATTAACAAATGAATCATATCTGAACTGATTTTTAAACATATCTAAGCTATCTGAAAATTCCTTGCAAATCAGCAACTGTCTATGTTATGTAACTCTGGTCCTAAAGCCAGAAAATCTGACAATGTGAAGTTTCAAAAGTTGCTATTTTCCAAGCAAACTGGAAGTAACAATGACAATGACGCCTGAGACCAAATGAAACTAGTGAACCAGTGAAGGTTATATGTTTATTAAGGAGTAATTGGGTGACAACTAAGTTTAAATATATAAGAAAAGAGATCAATATGTCAGAAATTTGTGATGTGTAAGTTGAAATAAAAATTTGACTCGTAAAGATCTGATCAACCTTCAACCCTGGTGTTTTTCAGTAGATGGTTAGCTGTTTGTAAGTCAAAGATTGAAAGCTAAGTATTATTCTAAACGAAGAGTGACTTTAAGAAAACCTCAGAGAGATGACTTAAACTAAATGTAGACTATGGTATGATTACTCACCCCTGTTTTGTTTTGATTATGAACTTTTATGACCTGTAGAAGAATGAAGCAACCAGCTATATGTTATTTCTTTACCAAAGCGGAAGCATTGTT